AGAACAAAATAAACGAAGAAACAGGCTTTGACGTAAAGTAGCGCCGTTGGTATGCTAATGTTAGTAGTACTATATATTGAGTGGCAGCAACGTTAGTAAGTGTGGGACATCTAAGGCAGCGTTCAGACCTCGCGACGGCAGCGCTTCGTTCGCGCGTTCGGCGCAATCGAAGCGCATGTGAGGGCAACGGTTAGGACTCCACGAGAGGTCAGCCTGCCGCCGCGACGCGGCAGTTTTCGCTATGTGCGCGGCGTTTGCATAGTCCATGAGATTTCCAACAGTCTGCTTTATTACTTGCAGGTGTGAAAACTATGAAAGGAGTAGGCCCGATGTTAACTATTAGTGTAAAACAACGTCCATTTACATAGAAATAATATTTAGAGAATACATCAGCAATCTACAAAAATTCACTTTAGGGTGAATCCTTCTTTTGCCCTCAATTGTAAGGTATTGTAAGGGCCTAAGATTTGCGGCCAGACGGGAAAAGTAGGTCGTATAAAGAAATACAGCAATCCGTTGAATAAATACAGCTGCCATTCAAAAATATTGACGTCCCATTGAATATTCTGGTTTGGCAAAATGCCAAGCAGATTTGCGTGATGCCAGAACTATGTGAAGGGACCGGGATCTTAATCGCACGACTGTATGGGTCTCGTCCAATCACGGCAGCAATCGCCGCGCGGCGAGGCGAAACATGGCAGCCGTGACCTCTCGTGGAGTCCTAACCTACACCCCCATTTATGAGGGCTGCAGCGCCTTCGTTACTTACTGTAGAGCTGCGAGTGGGATGATCTCAGAGAGTGAGGGCCGGACACTTGTGGAAGGAAGGACGTCTAGGGAATGTTCGAGCGCGGGGACTGTCTTTGGGTTGTGCACACTCAAGCGCTGGATTTATTGTGCCTTAAATTCCAGGGGGTAGCGCGGTCGTCTCACACTAATGAAGTGCGCATAGAACTATGATTTTATTTCGAGTTCCAGCTGCGGTTCAGTTGGTGTTACAACGAGAATTGCAACTAGACGCCAGATTATTCCCCAACAAGAGGTGTGGAAAGAGTCGTTTTTCTCGCTAGTAGGGAGTGGGTCAATTCAGACCGTGTCTTTCAAGCGTGCTATTAGGTTGTGTAGAAAGTCCTGCTTCTAAAGCTGAGGCTTTCCAGTTATTGAACGATGATATCAAACAATGGGGCAATAATCATCAATATCTACGGTATGTATCCATCTTCCGATTATTCACCATCACAGATTGGAATAGGGGCTTGCATGTAGACGACAAGGTGCTGTGTAACTAGATAGTTATGGGCTGGTGTAATGTAAGGTAGTTTTGGAAAGGCAGAAAAAGTGACTGGCTGCTCTATAGATAAAAACACCGTTTTCAGTCCCCCAGCTATGTAACGTGACCCACATGAACTCTATCTCCAACATTATGTCCCTCATCGCACACAATCGATATCTCGAAGTAATTACCACCTGAACAGCAGTGACGATGTTGTCATGCTTTTTCGTCCTGCAGCTTCGTTTTTACAGACGCGCGGAAGGCGGAGTCTGGAGGCGGAGTCACTGGAAAAAAGGAGGCGTCACTGAACCTATATTGCGCTATAGCGCCCCTCCCTTACAATTTTTTGCCGCGAAACCGGTACAAGGTTGTTCGTCGCGGACCACACTACCCTCCCGACGCCATATTTTCAACTTCTATACCTGATCGCGAACCGTGCCTTTGACTCTTCTATAACTAGGACAACTGCAATGAAAAGAAGAGGGGACCTCACTTCCGAGTAGACGTTGAATATTTTTTGTTTGTTGAATTTTTGTTCTCTAATTGATGAAGTAGGGATCAGAGGAGGTGAAAGTTAGAGGATGCTGGTGAAAAGATGGGTGTGGTCCGTAATCCTTGGTCGAGCGAGGTCCATAAACAGTTGACGTTTCCTCATCGCCACAGGTGGGGCGCGTTGACGCGGAGTATGACGATATTGAGTTTTTCTCAGTTTTTAAAATTTACGCATAACATGAGTCACCCTTTGACATTTGTTAGACAGACTGCGTTCGTCACTGCTGTCGTGGTACACACCACTATCGCTTTGCAGTATCAACAAAAACACACTTTCTCACGTCCATCTCTTTTGGGGTCTAGCAGCCTCTCTCCTTAAGGGGTTTTATAGAGGTTGCCAGCGCAGTTCTGCGACGGGGGGCATCTTGAACTTTTCGCACTTCCCATCAACGTGTCGACCCATCTAGACAGCCTCTTCTCGAGTTGACAGGTTTTACCATGATGGCTTGACGAGCTTGCTGCAGCTCCAAGAGTTCATAGGTTTCACCAGAGTAAGACTTGTAAACTGGAAGAGTGAAGCAATTAAAGTGCAAAATGCCCCGCCGTGGCCGAACTGCGCCGAGGTTATCTGCATGAATTGAGGGCACAGCTCTCCTTACCAACCACTACATTACCCGAGAAGTCCTTCTGATGTGTACAAAGAAGAAAAACTCAGCCGGCGGGGAAGGCTGACAGCTGTCACATGGTGCAATCTTAGAGGTGTTGCCAACTTACTGGTGGTTACATTCGGGCTGCACCTTCAGGGAGTTGAGTAGATTCTGTGCTGAAGCCGACCAATAAGTTGCCTATCTGCAGATAAGCAGCTTCAGATCCTGGCCCTGCGGGTGCTAAACTCGACCACAGCGTCATTCTTCTTTGCAAGCAAACGCAGGTGTTGACTGCCTCGAAGATTAGCCATTCAAGAGTCTTATAAATGTATGTAATAGGTCGAAAGTACCATTTTGTTTTTTTTTTTTTATTTATGTTGGTTTGTTTTTGTTCCTTGACGCTCGAGAATTTCTAGGTCTGAAAGCTCCCACGCCCACACTCATCTGAACCTCGGAGAACACTCTTCATCAGTCGAGAGCGAAAAAATGTGAAATGTGTTGTGGTTTTCTTCCGAGAACAGCATTCAATTCAAACACTCTTCATCAGTCGGGGCGAAAAAATGTGAAATGTGTTGTGGTTTCTTCCAGAACACTTCATTCAAAGGGTTGCAGGACTTTTTTCCAACGTAGTATGCAGGCGCTCAGGTGTTTCAGTCTCATCTTTAATGATAAATAGCCCCGAAAACTCCATACACACCTCACACTTCCAGCTTGTGCCCTACTGACTCACATTCCCGTCTCATGGGGACCTTGCAAACAGTGAACGTAATGGCAAATGTGAGCAAGTTTTGGTTACGTTGTCACCTTGGATTCTGTAATCAGCGTGGACCAACATAGCTAGGAAATAAAAGAGAAGTTTACAATCACCGACTACAAATAATTCATTTCTTTTACTAGAAAAATGTGGTACTAGCGAAAGGTGTTCAGAGTTGACTTTATGGTCCCTCTTCGAAGAAAAACACCTCTGAGTTATATAGTCCCGTATCGGTCAGCGAACATCTCATTAGCCTATTTATCTCGAGCTTCGACAGCTGTTCACTTCGAAAACGCATTCCTCCGAAAGGCTGCTCGTTGTACTTCTTTTTCTTCACTACATCCTCCAGGAAATGGTGACTGCTAATATTCAGGGTCAAGCAATCTACCATCTATTGTCCTCTGATTCACCGCCACTTTCGACTCGTCGAGAAGACACGCCGGACTCCACTGAGCCATCGTCACAAATCAGCTCACCGCCAGAATCGGTTAGATTTTTCTTTCAACTTCGTGAAAGCATTTCATTTTTTTCAAGATGTTCCAGGGGTCAACTCTCGGATCAACTTCTGCCTTGAGTAATTAGACCTTCAATCCTTTCTCAATAGGTTGATCAAGACGATAGTTGCCGGGGAGAAAACGAACACTGACTGACCCGAATTTTTGCCAACTCCTTCCCTCTGTCTTCATTTTGTCAGCCGTACCTCAGTGGCGAGTCCTCCGTAGGGCACAATTAACTGTTGTGTAAAACACAGCGGAGGGTTGTATTTGGCCGCAGGAAGAGTGTTCCTATTTTCTCACTAGTAAAACTGTTACTGAGTTCTGCTTGTTGGCTTCCCCCGTTTCACCTTTCCTCCCCCACCCACTCACGCTTGGGCGGGACCTCAATGAATTAATATTTCGGATAGTTGATCGGTATTATCTGTATGTACCCCCACTCACCCTCATTCGACCGCAAATTTTTGGGAAACAGTCGGCTAAAAGGATAGTGGATTCTGGGTCGTACCAAGAGAAAAAATTTGGGTATGGTACCTTACCAATAGCAAAAATATCGCAAATATGATGGGTGCCCCGTTCGCGTGGTTGACGAAATATTCAGCGATCGTACAAAATGAACCATCCGTGTTTTGGAGCAGCAGTTTCAGTGCACTTTCCTTTCTTGTTTTTTTTTGATCCTACATCGGCTACGCCCGCATGCAGCATCCAAACTGCCACAACGGGTTTGAATTAAGCTAGATTGCATGGCGCATCCCAGAAAGAAATTTGTCAGATCGAAAGCTTTGGTTATTTTGGTGCATGTTTTTGAGAATCGTGTTTCAGGTAGACGAGTCGAGCAATTTCTCACTATGGATTGTTCCCGTTACACGTGTGTTCACTCTTCCACCATTGCCTCCACCGAAAAAAGTGAAAGTGGTGAAGAAGATCGTCAAAAAACGTACGCCAAACGAGGACCCATTCGATGAGAATGGCGACAAGAAAAAGATTGTGAGCGAATTTTTTATTGGAGAACAAGTATCCTTTTCGCCTTAGCCTCGTCAGAAGCGTACTAATTCTATTCTAATTTCACGCCTCTTCTGTGTGCACTGAAAATAGCTCCAATCTAATTGTAAAAATAGTGTGTAGGGCCATTCGTACGCGTGTGAGTGTAATGTATCAGTTTTTGTGCAGGCAGTGATAGAGCATGCCTTGCAATCGGGTACTAGTTGAATGGGATGAAACATTCCAATAGGTCTTACCAGTACCCAATTTCTTTCAGATTCTAATTCCGGACGTTAGGTCTTACTGGAAAATGTAACAACATGGGCACTTTTTAGCCATCACTGACCCAAATTTCAATTTCGAAATTTTCCATAGGTAGACTCGGATGGGTGTCTTGACGCACTCCTTATATAGCTCTTATACCTCGAGCGAGTAGAACGGTGCATTTTAACCATTGACACGAAACTGGTTACTCGGTGCAATATTTCGGTGCAGGACAACTGCCAATTCTTGGTTCTGTGGTGACAAGGGACATTACACGATTTTGGAAATACTCAGCGCAGAAGCATAGACGCCCTTCAAGATTGAGTTGAAGTATCGGGCCATTCGCCTACCGCGATCTCAGGGATTCCGAGTATATTACCAGGTGCGGAAAAAAGTTTTAACAAGCCAAGTCGCGGCTTTTTAATAGGTTACCTAAAGTTTTGTGTACATGAAAGTGTGTTGCTAAAATCAAGTACTCCTAAAAAAGCTGTCGCAACGAAGAGAGTTGATTTTGTTTGAATTCGTTGCAGGTGACAGAATTTTTAAATTACTGAGACGAGCACTTTAGAGAAGGGAGGGAACCTGGGGGTGGGGTGAGGGCTGCCAGTTGTGGGAGTTCGACTATTTTTATGTTCTTCGCAAAATTAAAGCGAGTATATTCTCGTAATAAGTTTTCAGTGGCATGACGATAGCGCGTCAGGGCTCGAAGCCGGGTGGTCTTAGGCAGCAGCCCGAATGACCGCGGCTTCAAAACTGAACAGTCACCGCTTGATGTAGAGCGCCACTTGCCGACCTCCTCCTCCTACCCGAAAATTTTTATATTAATTGGTGTTTATGAGGCTATACCATTCGTAGTTATCTGACGCCTAAATACTTGGTGTATAGGAGAAAAGATTAGATAGCTTCCACAATGATAACGACTTTTCGTGAAGCTTTTGTTCCAAGTTTTTTTCCACGACTGTAAATGTATCTCGAGTATCATGACCCATTTGACGAGATCGCTGCACGACGTATTTTTTCAACTGCTGTCTATCAGCGCGCTGCCAACGGAAAATTTTTTCGATGGCTAGCAACTGAATGCTGGAGATGGTTCCTTAGGAAAAGACGGCTGGCTTTCGCGAGCACCTGCTATTTTGGCGAGCGAAATTGCTTTTCTGTTAAGAGCTGCAGACTGCTCATGGGAGCTAATTTTCAGTAGACCTAGTTCATTGAGGGGGGAATATTTTCAGAGGACCTAATTCAGCGAAGGGGAATGTAGCGCCCGATCTTGCGCAGAACTTTTTAGCTTCTTGAAGTAGTTTGATAAAGGAAAAGCACGCTCACAAGTAACGAGATTAGGTACCAATCGCTCCTTATTATATTGAACGCTCTACTGATATATCCTTGATGAAAGGCCACGCCTTTGAGTTCGAAAATGGCGAAAGTTGTGCGGCTCGAATAACAATGACAGGATGGTAACTAGCATAAACGTGAAAAAAAAACCGAGAAAACCAGCTTGAAATGCTTCGTATAAAACTAACGTATTTGTACGTGCATAAGGTGAAGAAAAGGCGTGGTCGGAAGAGTTCCCACTTTGTTAGCTCCCGCCCAGTCCACCGCTCCTTTGAATCTTTTCGTGATGAGAGAGTCAGCACTAAAGAAAGAACAACACTGGCAGGAAACCTTCGGAAATGAAAGTTATGCAGTGCCATGGCCAATTTGCGGTAGGTTCGTTGCTAGCGGGTCACGCCTCTCTCACGTATTTTCGAGTTACGGAAGTAGTACATCCTCCATGCTTGCGGACACAACTACCATACCTATAGAAGGCGTCTGGACATCGAATGAACGCGGAGTGTGCTTTTTAGTTGTTATTGAAAGAGTATTAATATCAATGAAATGCGACGATTACAGATCAGAGTTGTTCGGAAGAAGTTGGAGAAGAAGGACGCGAGTCCTGCACCGGAGACAAATGGCGTTCATACAAACGGGTATGTTTCGAAATCCTCTTGGTAGCAAGTTGTATACTGGGCGTAAATTAGGATATGGCCTGTTTTTCAGAATCTCTTCCGCGACACCCACTTCGAACACAACTCCCTCGAATGGTGTCTCAAATGGCAGCATATCACCTACTGATCTTCAAGCCCCAAAGACTATTCCCACGGAGGCTTCTGATGCCACCCCTTCAGTGATCAAGTCTTCTTCTAGAGAAATTGCCGGAAGCTGTGGTCCTACTCCTAACGGTGTAGCAGAAGCAGCATGCTCGTCAAATTCGGTATGAATACTTTATTTTCCTGTGATATCCGACTGGTACAGTTGACCTACACGAAAACTTCATGTCATGTCTTCCAGACGGAGGAAGTGGAGAACTCAAGTTTGAGCGAATTAAGGAAGAAGTTAATGCAGGCGTCGGAGAGTACCAGCTCGGCGAATTATGAAGTATGATTTCATTATGAGATACTTTTTAATGATAAACAGAGAACCAGTTTGTTCAAAAACGAATGAATCTCTGGAAAATATTTAGTTCAAAAAGGCTAAAATATTCAAAGTGCTCTTCTCTCTCTCAAGATTTGTAGGTGGATTTCGGTGTGTACCACCTTTGGGCCTGGAATACTCTTTTTATTAGTGTGGCTAGATAATACACAATATATGAAACTGGCTATAGGTTTTCGGAGTTTCGTCTGTTTTCAAACATTGAGATCACCATGAAGCTCTGGAACAACACAACGTTCGAAGTAACATTGGCTGAGTTTCAGTCTCGAGTTACGACACAATCACGGGCTTTCGCAAGCAGAAAAAGTTCCACCCCTGAACGACGACTTGATCCCATCTACGAAGGTGAGTGCTTTTTTACCGAGCTACTCACTTCTTATGCTAGATGCTTTTGTATATACTCTAGTTTGCTGCGGACGGCTGGGCGTGTCAGGCAGAATGAGTGTGTCACCCTGTCAAGGCCGTTCTCTGCCTTCTTGTTGAAGCCGCATGCGACAAAAAGTGGTAGAAAACGAGTAATACGAACGATATGATACAGTCGTGTCATTTGCTCGCTTTACAAATGGTGGAGAGCGATTTTGGCACCGCGCCAAA